CAGCGTGAGCTGGTCACCATCCAGGAAGCGGCGGCGCGACTCGCGCAGCTGCGGCTCCCGGACTAGCTCGTGCTCCAGGGGCGCGCGCAGGTAGCTGTCCAGCCTGGCGAGGGCGCGTAGCAGCAGCTGGTACAGGGCTGGGGACCGAGGCGGAGGTGGGTGGGGGGATTCAGTAAGGCCTCGGCCTGGGACGCAACACCCACCACTGTCGCGAAGGCTCCCGCCCCTGCTCACCATCATCCTGCTCAGGCGCCGGGTTCTTGATGAACGCCGAGAACTTGTGAAAGACGTCGCTGCCCGCCATGGCGGACTCCTTGTAGCGCGGCGCCAGGCTGGGGAATCTGCGGGCGGAGAGGGGAGGGGCCGGGTCAGATGCGCCTGGCGGCCCGCAGGGCCTTTCCCGGGCTCTGTCCTGGCGGGTCCTCCCTGGGAACCCCTCCTGCAGTCCCCGGGCCCCGGGCCCTCACTCAGGGGGTCCCAGGGTCTCCTCCAGAAACTCCTCTATCTGCAGCGTGTCTGTCTTGGCGTCGCCGTCATAGAGCAGGATGGGCAGCTGCGAGCCAGGGGCGAAGTCCTTCAGCACATCCGGGGACCTGTGGGCACAAGGGAGGGGAAGTGGCTGCCCGAAGGGACAGCGGCTCTGAGGGGTCCCTGGGGGGGGGTTGGGGGCTCACCTGCGCGTGTCCACTGTGGTGAGCGTGAAGGGCACACCCTTGAGCAGCAGGATCATGAAGAGCCTCTGGCAAGACGGGCAGTGTCCCACGCTCTCGCAGTCCTCGCTGGCCTGGGCGTGGGGTCGTGGGGTGTCAGGGCAGCGAGCAGACCCAGGACCCGGCCGCCCAGTGCCAAGAGACCAGAGCAATGCCAGGGCTCCGGCTCGGCGAGTGGCCGGTGAGGGCCCTCGACTCGGTGCCTGGGAGGGGTGGAGGGTAGGGGTGGAGGGGAGGGGTGGAGGGGCACAGAGCTGCGGGAAGCTGGGAGGCTGGGCGAGGGCACAGGGCTGGGACCCCAGCTCTGTGGCTTGGCCCCTTGACCCTTATTTCAGACCCTGGGCAGAGGCCAGGGCCCTGGGCTCCAGGCTCCGCAGGCTGGTCTTGAGGGCGGGGTGGGCTGAGAGAGCTGTTTTCTGAGTGATTCACACCGCCAGCTGGGCACCCAGGCTGGCAGCACACTAGCTGCCCCAAGCCCCCAGGGTGGGGAGGGGACCAAAGCCTCACAGACCTGGGCACTGATGTGATGGGCTGCCTGGCCCAGAGCCCCCACCCCACACCGTGCTGCATGGACCCCCAACCTCCACTTGGGTCCCTGCCACTGGCTGCCTGGTTGGTGCCTCCCCATGGAGGGGCTTTCTCTCCAGGAGGGCTGGGCTGGACCCAGGAGCCCGGGGGGTTGAGACAGGCCACCCCCACCTCCTTTAGGGACGACTCACTGGCCCTTCTCCCCTCTCGGGCTTACCCTGCTTTACTCAGCTTCCGTAGGGCTGCCTGAGCCCACCCACCACAGGGGAAGCGGAGCAGACGCTGCCACGGAGACCCGCCCCTCAGCCCGCCCAGAGAGTGGAGCCTGCAGAGCACCCCCACTCTGAGCCCTCCCCCAGCCCCCCACCTGCCCGGCACCTTGACAAACAGCTGGAGCTTGGCAGTCTCCGCCATGGTCGGGAGCTGGGGTGCTGGAGCGGGGACCGGGAAGCTCTTTAAGGCTCCTGGGCTGTGCCCTCCCAGCCCAGGGCCCGCCCTGCAGAGTCACCTAAGCAGGCAGACGTGGCTGGCAGGACTCAGTGTCCGAGCGAGGGTGTGACCGTGGGGGAGCTGCGCGGAGAGGGCGGGCTGCTGGAGCCCGCCAAGCACTGGGGGACCGGAGCGCCCTAGGGGTGGCCCGGTGAGACGGAGGCGGAGGCCAGTGGACTGAGAGGCGGGGAGGGGGGCTCCAGCACGGGAGGGGCAGCTCTGTGACCGATCGCCCCCTGTGAACTCCACTGCCCTCCCCACGGTGAACACCCCGTTGTCTGTGGGGCCGCAGGAGAAATGAACAGCCTGGCCCAGCTTCAGTTTTCCCTGTCTGCCTACCAGGGCACGACAAGAGGGCTAAGCCCAGTTGGAAGGGACGCCCCCTCTCACCGCCTGCCAGCTCCACCAGGCAGGGGCCCCTCCCCAGGGCGGGGCCCACTTTCCAGAGGGGGTGTCCAGAGGTGCCTGGGGCGACAGGCGGGCCACCCAGCGAACCCCACACCCCTGCCCCTCCCCCTCATGCTCGGGCTGGTTTCACTCCCTCTTAAACTTTAGAATGGAGCACCAGCAGGGGATTTGAAGCCGTAACCTCCTGACCCCCGGGGTCCGCCAGCCCCACCCTCAGCTGGAAGGCGACGGAGGGCTGGGAGCCTGCGACCCCACGGGTGTGCCCTTACCAGCCCCTGTGTGGTGGCCCGCCACACCTTCCCTCCTCTGGTGGTAGGGGGCAGCCCCAGGGGACACCCAGAGGGAGGGGCCCACAGAGGCTTGGTGCCACCCAGTGGCCGAGAGCGAGATCTGCTCGGCACATTTGCCTCCTCGCCCAATGCCACCGTCCCCCACCAGGATCCCAGTCCACTGGCCCCTTCCCAGCTAAGGCCACCCTGCGAGCCTGAGGGCTGGCTGGACATCCTGTGGAGTTGGGCGCCCGGCTCACCTCTCGGGCCCGGGCCTCCCCTCCACCAGCCTCCATCCCACACCCCAGATCTCAGGGGCTTCTCGGCAACGTGGGGCGGGGCTCGCCCCTGCTGGTTTCTCGCTCCCCCTGCACACAAACCACCACCCTGGAGAAGGGCCTGGGGCCCCTCTGCACCTGCACGCTCACCGCATGTCCTGTGTGTGTTTCTGCGTGTATGAAAGAACCGTTACACATGTGTAAGAAAAATGGAAGTAGCCAAGTGAACAGGGGGTTCAGAGAGAAGGAAATCGGGCACAGCAGAACACACGCCAGGGGGCGCTCGCCTCACTCGGCGCAAGAGCTAAACCAGGAGTTCACGGCTGCGGCCGGCAGACGCGCGGCGGTCACAGCCTCGGCCGAGGGGTGCGCAAACGCATTTCGGGGGCCTGGGCGGCAGACTCCGGGACGGTTCGCCCGTCTGGGAATTAGCCCGCACGCGTCCCTGGAAACACGCGAGGGGGGCAGCGCCCGGCTCTGCTGGCTGCGGGACCGTCCTGGTGCGTCTCGCTTGTCCCAGTGTTAGTGGTGATAGGAGCTGAACTGTGTCCCCCAAGTTCACGCGTTGAAATCCTAGCCCCCAGCACCTCAGAATGTGACTGTATTTGGAGGTGGTCATGACTACGTCCTCGTAAAAAGCGGAGACGGGGCAGACGCCCCCACGGGGAGAACACCCAGTGCCGATGGAGGCAGAGCTCAGGGAGATGCTCCTCCAAGCGAAGAAGGCCGGAGGTGGCCAGGAAGCACCGTGGCTGGGGCTCCCTGCAGAGCGATGGCCCCTCAGCCTCAGAAGGAACCCCGCCGATTCCTCCGGCCGGGGCTTCGGGCCTG